AAAAAAAAAAAAAAACGACACTGATTCCTTCGACTGATTCAGAAGACAACGGCTACACCAAGGAGGACGCCTAGTTAAAATTGGATTTATAGTTTACCTTTGAATTTCGCAGCTATCTTCAATCATGGACAGAAGTCTTGGGACAAATTTGCACTTTTGGCGCTTTTCTGCACACGCCAGACGCGCATACAACTTCACCTGCCTAACCTCTCCCCCAACCCCACATACAAAGTTGAGTACCTGCAATTTCTACTGATTTTCAGCATGGTATTGGGTGGGAAGGGGGAACAGCAATGCGTTTTAAAAAGGAAAGCATGGCATTGTTAAAACCTCGGTTGCAAAACACAGATAATTCGTTACATCACAGTGTCCCAAGGACTTTTGTCCACGACTGTAGATCTGTTTAATACGCCGATCGCTCTCAAAACCGGCTCAAACTAAATATGTTATGCCAGGCATAAATTACAAAAGGAAATACAAAAATTAGCAGTCGTGGTTCACGTTCTCCAAAATATGCAGAACTTGGTCATTACATGTTGTTTTGCAGAAGACGGCGACAAAATGTACAACGATTTATAACGCTCGTGCACAGCCACTTTTCTACTCATTTAACCTTGCGTTTGGTGACGTTTTCGTTGCCCTTGCCGTCGTAGTTTGCTTAGGCTCCCTAAGACCTTAAGTTCACGGCACCACACTAATCACAAACGTGCACCAGTTCTCACATACCTTGATCTTCCTTCAGCACCATCTTGGTGCCAGCGCTTGAGGTGCTTTTTAAGGTTTCCTGCCTGAGCGAATCCCTGTCCACAATGCTGACATGAAAAAGGTTTGTCACCAGTGTGCGTGCGACAGTGCATGGCGAGGCTGCTTGGACACAGGAAAGCTTTGCCGCACAAGCTGCAGAAAAATTTCTTCTCTCGCATTCTCTCCTTGGGGCGCTGCTCTTTGTTGTGGACAAACCTAACGAGCACATCAACAAACAACTTTCATCTTACCTGCTAAACTTTCAATGATACCTTGGGTCAAGTAATATGCGGTTCAAATTCTTACGTCTTTGGAAGAAACTCGGCGTTCGACCATTCAAATGAAAGCCATTGAGCAGTATTTTCATGTAGTATTGTTTATTTTGCTGTACGAGGTGGTTCTAAATTTAAGGTCTCTGGATGAAACCCTGGTGTGTGGCCATTCAAATGAAAGCTATTGAGCAGTACTTTCATGTACTACTGTTTATTACGCTGTACAAGGAGGTTCTAATTTTTTTAAGTCTGTGGATGAAACCCCTGTGTGTGACCATTCAAATGAAAGCTATTGAGCAGTACTTTCATGTACTACTGTTTATTACGCTGTACAAGGAGGTTCTAACTTTTTTGAAGTCTGTGGATGAAACTCTTGTGTGTGACCATTCAAATGAGAGCTACTGAGTAGCACTTTCATGAGGTTCTGTTTATTTTGTTCCTCAGGTTAACTTTTACATCTGTGGATGAAACCTTACTGTGCGACCATCTATTTAAAAGCTATTAAGCAGTACTTTCGTGCGGTAATGTTTATTACGCCGTGCAAGGTGGTTGTATTAAGATTTATTCTATGGATGAATCCCTTCTCATAGTTTTGGGCTTTGTAAACTCACCTTACGTGTTTAGTCAGGTTCCCTGGTTGGCTGAAACCCTTTTGACAGACAGTGCACTGATATGGCTTCTCTCCTGTGTGAGTCCGCAAGTGTGATTTCAAGTCCGAGGGGCCTGGGAACATTTTGTCACAGTGTTGACAAGCATATTTCTTGGCTATCCTGGGGTTGATAGGTCGACCTTCTACCATTGGACAGCGTTTACATCTAGCGTTAGAAAATAAAATTAAGGGTTAGTTCATATTTAGCACGAACTGACTGACCACCCGACTGACTGACTGACCACCCGATTGACTGACTGACCACCCGATTGACTGACTGACTGACCACCCAACTGATTGACTGACCACCCGACTGACTGACTGACTAACTGACTAACTGGCCACCCGACTGACTGACTGACCACCCGACTGATTGATTGATTGACTGACTGACTGACTGACTGACTAACTGGCCACCCAACTGACTGACTGACCACCCGATTGATTGACTGACTGACTGACTGACTGACTGACTGACTAACTGGCCACCTGACTGACTGACTGACCACCCAACTGATTGACTGACCACCGGACTGACTGACTGACCACCCGACTAACTGACTGACTGATTGACTGACTGACTGACTGACTGACTGACCACCCGACTGACTGACTGACTGACTGACTGACCGACTTACAGACGGCCGGACTGACTGGTTGATTGATTTTATACCCACCTGATATGCTTCCTCAAGCCAGACTTCTGAACAAAGTATTTGCCACATAAATCACATTTATATGGTTTTTCTCCAGTATGACCCCTGAAACGGTGAAAATAAACACAAATTAGGAGCTTGTTGATTTCTATATTCGACCATCAGAAAAGCACTCATTCAAAGCAAACCATAACGACCCCATGACTTCAAAACTCGTAGATCACAACTTTCAGAGCCATAATTTTCCGTGTCACCTCTCTCAGAGTCACGACCGTCGTCATGCGGGTCATGACCTCAAAATCAGTTTCCATAATCGTGGCTTTCTAAGCCATCAGCTTAGTTAAAAGGTTTACACCTAAATGTCACATAAACCATAGCAAAGTAACATGCAAGCATCTAAGCCTTATTATTACATGCACTTTTATAGTTTATATAATTTGTATAAAATGTTATTATGTGTTATTAGCTGTCATAGCTATTAATTGTGTGCTCCTCTTATATTAATATTTTATACCCAAATATAAATTTAATTATTTCAGACTTCCCTAATAACGTTTTAATAGCGTTTTTTTTCTCTCTCTCTCCTTTTTCCTTCTTTTAATGTGTGCTATCTTGCTGACCTGTAATTTATTTTCATTAACGCTGATGTCAACTGGCTGCCTGGCTCCGCTAGCCCCCATGGTCATTCCAGGCAGCCAGTAATCTAATTCTATTATCGATAATTTGTGCAATTAGTGGACGTGAGAGAGGGAGTACAAATAACGACTGTTGTTGTTGTTGTTGTTGTTACATGTGGAGGTGAGAACTGATAAACATTCAGGACCTTGTAACGACTCTGGACCTGCTCGTATCCTTCGCGAGAACCCGCTCCATTCTTTCAGTTGGGGAATACTTTGTACGGCCCAATCGTTTTTCAAGCGCAGAACCATTGAAGGACTAATGATTCAACAATGGAGTCCCAGTTTGAATAAAGAGTTTCATTCTTACGTAGCGAAATAAAACCTATAGCCGACAGTCTTCTACCCTGAAGATGACCTCGTGAGTCATAAACGCTCAGTTTTTCTCTTAATTTTAAACTTTTTACCCTTGTAAATAACATCTTAATTCTTAAGCGAATATTATGGACATAATACGTTACAGAAATTTCCCGGGAAAATTTCCAGAAAATACGGAAATTGTTGAATTTCCGAAAAGCGACCATTAACTGAAAATTCCAGAAGAAAAATCAAATGGAGCGGAAATTCCCGTTAAGAAAAATCCGAAAATTTGGGTACTCTTCGCAAAGTTGTCTCCTTTTCCGGAAATTCATCACTGGAAATTTCCGGAAATGCAAACCGGAACTTTTGGTCGAATGGAAATCGCCCAAGGTTATCTTCTTTTCCGGGCAATGCTGTTTCATTCGTCACTAGAAATTTCCGGAAATTCAAACCGGAAGTTTTGTATGAACGGAAAGCGCCCTTGATCTTACCTGAAATGTACCACAAGCTGGTAACTGGTAAGGAACGTTTTGTCGCACTTCTCGCAGCGATATCCCTTGTACGTTGGAGGTGCCTGATCGCCATGTCTCCTCCTCGTGTGCTTGGCCAGATTCGGCAGTGAAACGAATGTTGCTCCACATTCATTGCACATACACGCTTTGTCTGTAGTGTGTGTCTTCACGTGCTCCACTAGCTCTGGTTGGGTGTCAAATGTCACCATGCACCCATCAAAGTTGCAGATAAACTTGTCGCTGGTATACTTCTTTTGCACCTCTTCTTTCTCGTAATGACTTGCATGCTTGTGTCGCCAAAGGTGGCCTATGATTGTGATGACGATACAAAGAAGAGTTGATTTTCTTATTGTCTCTGCTTCAGGCATTTGAGCGCGAGAGAGCGACGGCGAATTGTTGTAATGTGTTGTGTTTTGCGCTGTTTCTGTCGTATTTAGCTGTGTTGTGTCGTGTTGAATTGTGTTTGTTTTGTTTTGTTGTGCTTTGCTGTTGTGCTCAGTTTTGTTGCATTTTGTGTTGCTTTGCTTTGTTGCGTTATGTTATATGTTGTTGAATTATGTTTTGTTGTGCTATGCTGTGTTGTGTTTTGCATTATGTTTGTGTTTTAATTGTTGCAATAAAATGGCATGTCCAACTTAATAAATGGCGAAAGAACAAGAAAAAGTAAGACGATAACTTTATAATGTCAATGTCTTGAGTTACGCTTAAAAAGGAAATCTTAGATTTACAATGAAAAATCGCAAGGATTTCTGTGCTTCATTTTCTTCTTTTTGAGGGCACGGGGAGGGAGCTCCTTCTCAAAGGACTTGCAGCATCGGAATCGTAGTATCGCATAAATTTTAAGTAACACATAAGAACAATTACCTCGCTGAGTGTATGTCGCATCACAATATTCACATTTGTATGGTCGCAGTCCCTCGTGCACGGATTGTATGTGGACCGTCAAGACACGATTACTGACGTACACTTTGTTACAGACGTCACACACGACAGGTGCATTGGAGCCTTCTGAATGGCGCACTCTAGGGACCTTATCATGAACGGTCCTGATGTGTCGGTTTAGATGGGTTTTCTGAGTGAATTTCCACGAGCATTGGTCGCACTCAAAGGGCCTCTCTCCCGTGTGGCTTCTCTGGTGGCTCTGCAGAAACAAGACTGATTGAGTTCTTAACCCTTTGAATACCAAACTTTCGCCAAAAAATACCGTTTTTAACCGTTCAGTCAGGTTTTTTTGGCTGCCATGACGCTAAATAAGCCTAAGTTTTGCTAAGAAAGCCTTTTTTACCAAAAGGAGAGATTTTTCGAGGATTGGGTACAAAATTGAGCAATATTTCAATTCCGGGCGTGCGCATAAGCCCAAATTTGGACTTTTTTTTTTTTGCCATTAACCGTTCTCAATTTTGTTTGTTGCCCCTTTCCTTTCTTTTTTTTTCTCTGCCCTTTTATTCTGGCTACCTTTTGCGTTGCATGTTCTTTACTGTATTTTAGGAAATTCGCCATTTCCACATCTCCCATAATACACCTTGTTTGCCCCTCCAATTTTGCATAAGCATTGTCTTCAGTTTCTCTTGGGACGACTGTAATACCCAGGAGAAATGGGAAACAAAGGTTATGCAGGATTTTGGGGGCAAACAAGGTGTGTTATGGGGGATGTGGAAATAGCGAATAGCCCATTTTACAGCTGTCTGCTCAGTGACCTGGCCTTTGAATGACAGCGAGGCTGCAGGTGAGCTTGTTTCGATAAAGACCTCACTGCTTTTGTCGAGTAAATCAAGTTGTTCTTACGCTGACTAGTTGGCATTTAAATGAGAAAAGCAGAGAGGTCTGTATCAAAGCATTCATGGGTCAAGTAACTACGCACACAACTGTAAAATGACCTATTAATCTTGGCAGGTTTTAAAAATAAAGGAGTCGATTGTCTTAGGGAAAATGTTGTCGTCGGAGACTGCACAACTGGGCAGATTTCAGCCACATATCGTCATTCGTAATTCATCTCAATCGTCTCAAATCCTGACCATCCTTCATCATATTTGGTTTGTTATCATTTTTTGTATATTTTTCTACATTTTTAAGCTAATATTTTAAGATGTCCCAGGATTTAAAGGCTGTTAATACATGTCAAACAATGACTATGCCATTGAGCCATAGGCGTCATTACAGGAGTTCAGTCACGGTATTTTGAATTATTTGGCCTCGCACAAAAATACCTTTAAATTGAAGGAAACCTGAAAATAATAGTTTACGAAGATAGAAAAACACCAAAGTGATAATAATAAACCATAAAGGAACAAGGATGGTTGAGGATGGAGAAGATAGACACGGATTGCAACGACGAACCTGAAACAATTAGGTCAAACATTTAGAGATGCGCAAACCCGGCGTTACATAGCTTCTTTCAGAACTACATCAGTTACAAACCTCCAGGCCATGCATGGAGTCGAATCTTTTGCCACAATCTGAACAGCTGTATTTCTTCTCTCGTAGCTTATCCTTGACTGGAACATAACCCGGCAAGTGCTTTTTACCATGTTTATTTAAGTTGCTTTTGGAAGAAAACTTCTTGCCACACTCTTTGCATTTTAGCGCATCGCTCTCTTGATGAGTCGTCAGATGTTCCTTGAGGTACACTTTGTTGTAGGTCTTGTGGCAGATGGGACACTCTTCCGCTGTCACAGGTGGCCCGTGCTTTGAACGGACATGGTATTGCTTTTCTTTCAGAGTTTGAAACTGCATATCACAGCTAACACACCTGGAACAAAACAAGACATCTCCACGTTAGTCCCAAAGGCATGTTTCCGACTCAAGCACTGCTAACCAAGATTAAAATATCAAGTCTCCTTACAGGTTCCAATACATATCATTTAACGTTGGCACTGAAACTTCGGTGGCATATCAAGTTAATATCGCCAGTAAAACAACGGCTTACGACCAGCTGGGCACAAATGCGACTGAAATTAGACGCGACCCCAAGGACAACGCCTAGTAAAACATGAACTTATATTATACCTTCGAATTTCGCAATTATCTAGATCTGTTGAGAGTGTCTGTTGGTCTCAGAAATTGCTCGAGCTGTAAATATGTAACGCCAGCATTCAATTCCAAAAGAAAATACGAAAAATTAGCCGTTGTTCGCGTTCTCCAAAATACGCAAAACTTAATCATTTCACGTTGTTGTTTTGCAGAGGACAGCAAAGAAATGTTCAAAGATTCATAGTGTGCGCGGCTATTGACCTGCTCATTAAACCTTTTGTTTGGTGGTGTTTTCGTCGCCGTTGCCGACGTGGTTTGCTTAAGGTCCCTTCTTAACTTTCAGCGTCTTGTCCAATGTTTTGAACCGGCGCTCAAGGAATTAGTTTCGTTTTAAATCCGTATCCTTCCTGCAGAAGGAAATTAACGCGACTTGCGTAAAGGAAACTCTGCTTGGTATGCTACGTCGAGGACGAAAAAATGGTATGCCAAACTGAGGAAAATGTTGTTCGATTTTTGGAATCGCCCATTCGTTAGGCAGGTCTTAGAATTTTGACACAGAGTAACAAAAGTTAGCGTGCCGTTAAGTGTATCCTAATTTAAAGAAAAACTTGAGTTACTTTGGTTGGTGATCTTCTGGTGGAGCACTCTCGTGATCTTGTAATTGTTTCCACTCCTGAAACCCTTCGTCACAAATCTTGCACCTAAAAGAAAATACTTCATTTGTATGATTGTCACAAGCTTGTCGCGAGAAGTGCTAATGAAAACAAAGATAAAACGCGCCAAGGAGGGAGATTTACACAGCCATCATAGGGCGGTTTTCAAGTGAGTGTCACAAAACCAAAACCAAACCAATAACTTACCAATTAGACTACTCTACCGATCTCAAACCACTAGTAGTAAAACCAAAACCAAAACAAATTCCGGAAATTCCGGGAAAAAAAGACAAACTCACGAAGTATACCAAATTTTCGAAAATTTCTGACCGGAAATTACCGTTCTCTTTGATCTTTCCGCAGAATTCACGAAATTTTCCGTTGAATGGTTCACATTTCGACAACATAACAATTTTCCAATTTTCCGGAAACTTTCCAAGGAAATTACCATTTGCCTCCTTTTCGAAAGTTCTGCAATTTCTGGTTGAATGGAAAGCGCCCTTTGCCTAATAAATTCATCTTGCATTTGAACAAGCTCTATAACTACTGCTGCTTGATTAATTCTTCTGCCGATTTGGAGGTGTTATTTTGAAAATGAGGCCTGTCTTCTTTCGTCGCTTATCTCCATGTACACTCAATTTTGAGTGGGTAACCAAATAGTGACGAGTGAAATCAGGAATTCATTTCTTGATTTCATAAGTATACCATTTGATTACCTTTTAATATCATAAGTGACAAACTACGTCTTACAATCCTGGGTTTCTGACTTGTTTATTGTATCGAAAAATTTCACGCCAAACGTTGCCATGGCAATTTTGTAATTTCACATTATAATTGACGCTGAAAGATTGTGCCAAAATTAAAGCGTAATTTTTGTCCCCCATGATATCATTATAAAAAATATATATATTTTTTTAATTTTCATACTTTGGCTTCCCTCCACATCTGTGCCTCTGGAGTACAAAAGCATTTCTGAACTCTTGAGTGCATGTGTCACATCGGAACTGTCTTGAAAGGCATTCCAAGGAAGAACTATGTTGCAGAGCTTTCTCTTTTTGCATAAACTCCTCCAGGCAGTGGGTACACTGGAATTTGGTTGTGTCTAGTGACAAACGTCAATGATAAGAGTACAATTAGTTCTTTCAGTAGAGAGAAATAGATAGAAAATCAGGGTGAATGTAGAAAATATACAATGTACATTGTTGTCATAAATAATTAAAAGTAAAGTCAAAGTAAGATTTTTGCTGGGTGCTAACAATATAGACTGAGGTAGATCCAGAAGTGCTAAAAAAGGGATTGGGCTGGCCTGCATAGCCTGCAT